TGAAAACGGCACATAAACTTCCTGGAACTGATTGCAATACAGTTCGCTGTCACCAGTTTCCTACCTCTGATCAAGGGGAAATGTGTTATGGTTCTCACGGACAACACCACTGCCCTCAGTTATGTCAACAAGCAAGGGGGCACTGTCTCTCTACGCCTTTGCAACCTTGCCATCCAGTTATGGAACCTTCGCATCGCCCACAACGTCTTCCTGGTAGCCACGCACATCTCAGGACACATAAATGTGCAAGCAGACCATCTGAGTCGAGCAGGACTCAGTCTCTACGAGTGGGAAATGAACCCAACCTACCTTCTCCCACTCTTCTGCAGGTGGGGAGTTCCCCAAGTAGATGTTTTTGCCACCAGAGCCAACAAAAAGTGTCCTCTGTTCTGCAGCCGAGGTGGCAGGGACCCACAGTCTCGAGGAGACGGTCTCCTCTATCCGTGGTCCAGAGAACTTCTCTACCTCTTCACTCCACTATCCCTGTTTCTGAGAGTGGTCTGCAAAATCATCAGTGACAGAGCGGACTGCATCCTGATAACCCCGTGGTGGCTGAGGCAACCATGGTTCTTGACCATCCTCGATTTGTCAGCAGGGGTCTACCACCAATTTCCTCCAGCACAGGACCTCCTCTTCCTGTCCGACTCCCCTCCCCTGTACCACGACGTGCCACAGATGAAGTTGACAGCTTGGAGAATAGCGTCAACACCTTTTCCACCTGCGTAGCAAACGTTTTGCTAAATGCCAGAAAGCCTACTACGCGAAAGTCGTACCATTACAAATGGCAAAAATTCTGTTCCTCATGGGGTGAGGATGCCCCTTTAGCCACCTCCGTAGATCTCGAGAAAGTTTTTCAATTCCTCCTGTCTCTCGCTGACTCGGGACTTTCTTACTCCTTGTTAAGAGTTTATTTGGCCGCACTTTCGGCCTACCATGTTCAAGTTGAGGGATGCACACTGTTCTTGCATCCGCTTTCAAAATGTTTTTTGAAGGGACTGTTGCACCTCTACCCTCCCATCAAAACTCCTGTCATTCCCTGGGACCTTCCCCTGGTCCTTTGCCAACTCACCAGGAAACCCTTTGAGTTGCTCGCAACTTGCGAACTGAAATTCCTGTCCTGGAAGACAGCCTTCCTGGTTGCTGTCACCTCGGGGAGGCGAGTTGGAGAAATACTGGCTTTCAGACATGACACGCCTTACTTGTCCTTTTCGCCAGACGGTGTCCGCCTCCTACCTGACATCTCATTCCTGCCAAAGGTAGTGTCAGAATTCCACCTACAGGCAGAGGTCTTCCTCCTGGATTTCTTCCAGGCTCCAACATCCTCAGAGAACAGACCGTTAAACACGTTGGATGCGAAACGTGCGCTTCTGTTCTACCTGAACAGAACCCGTCCGACGAGACGTGACTCCCAGCTGTTCGTCTCCTATGCACCAGCAAGGCTGGGGACTCGCATCACGGCTCAGCGCCTCTCAAAGTGGATTGCGGGTCTCATCCGCCTCTGCTACCAAACAGCCATTGCCTGGCCCTATCAGGGCCCATTCAACTCGAGCTGTTGCGGCTTCTACTGCCTTCCTCCAGGGAGTTTCCCTAACAGACATTTGCAAAGCCGCTACGTGGGCTATGCCTAAACCTTCATAAGGCACTACGCCCTAGACGTCCGAAAGACCTCTAGTATCAACATGGGATGTCACACCTTATCTTCGGCTACGCAGTAAGGACCTGCCAGCACCCTCCTCTAGGTAGGCCACTGCTCGCTAATCTCCCATGGGTGTGAAGCACAGAGACCACGTCGAAGATAAACAGGTTGCTTACCTGTAACTGGTGATCTTTTAGCGGTCATCTGTGCATTCACACCACCCGCCCTCCTTCCCTGCTGCAGTCAGCTTCTACATTTTTCATAGAGGTTGATTCGCGGCGGTTCGAAGGAACTGGCGGGAGGTCCATGCCCACCCCTCTGGGCATGCGTGGTGGGGTTCCTGCGCATGCCCGAGGTCTGGACACGAAAATCCGTTAAGAGCTTGCTACAATGCCGATCGATCCAGCACATGCGCACTAGATCCCATGGGTGTGAATGCACAAATGACCAGTCGAAGATCACCAGTTACAGGTAAGCAACTTGTTTTTCTCTGTTACATATTTCATCATTTAATATAGGAAAGTTTATTAGCGATCCCTTATGTATCACACAATTAAAAAAGAAAATATTTTGTCCCAAATCCAATTTTTTATAGATTTATATTCAGTATACATTACAACATATTCATATACATTTTAAAAATTGTTTCTCATCCTAAGTTTAAACTGTTTCTCATTCTAGGTTTGTCTCCTGCTTCCATAGTATACTCTCTCTCTCCTCAATTTTGAAATAGATATGTCAGATACATTGTTAATTTTGTCATTGCTGTATAATCGGCAAATTTATTTCCTTATTCTTCTAAGCTTGGACAAAGGTCTGATTTCCATTTCGCTGCATAACTAATTCTAGTCACTGTCACCATATATTCAAATATATCTTCCAAAACTTGGTAATTTATTCGGTAATATTCCTAATAGCATGTTTTAGCTTCCATAGGGAATTTTAATTTTAATATATTCTGCACTTTTCCATGTATTTCCTTCCAGTATCTTTTTGCTTTTTTACAAGTCTACCACATATGATAAAAGGTTCTTGACATTTCCAACATTTTCCTTTATAATTTTTGTCTACTTTCTTGGTATCCTTTGGAGAGATATACCATCTGAAAAAGATTTTGTACAGATTTTCTCTTAATGACTGGCTGGCTGTGAACTTTTTGCTCTTCTATTTCATGCTGAAGTAATACCTTATTCCATCATAATGAATGTTCTTTTTGTTTTGTAATCGTTCAAATTCAGTCAGCTCTCTTCCAGTTCTTTTCTGCACTTATTTATTACATCATCTTGTAATAAAAGAGCTTCATTTAATTTCCATCTTCCTCTTGATTTTCTATTCCATTACCAAACTACTTCTATGGGACTATGGTCTGCAAATATTTTTGGTTGAATCACTGTTCTATCTAAGTTCATTGTAAGACTTTTTCATATCCAACACATATGTATTCTTCAATGTGTTTGATGTCTATTAGAGAAAAAGTAAAGTCTCTGTCTTTTGGATGTTTACTCCTCCAGGCATCCTCTAATTCCATCATTTTCAAATACTGAAAATCATTTTTCTGTAATTTCCGACATCTGTAATTTCTTGATCTATCCTTCTTTGGGTCTAAAATCCCATTCATATCTCCAAAAATCATTATGTCATCATCTTGGAATTCTAGCATAATTTGGAAAAAAAATTGTTAGCATTGTTTGATGCATATATTGTTGCTAACATGTAGATCTTACTTTCTGGAAGTCTCATTTTTAAGATTAGATATCTTCCTTCTGAATCTCTTAATTCTTCAATTACTTCTAGATGTGGATTGCTTATATAAATAAGCTACTTTGCAGTTTTTATTTGGACTGAGGCAAAATATCATTTCCCTATTTTTTTAATATTTAAAATATGTTCATGTTTCTTTTTAATATGGGTTTCTTGTAGACATTTTGCTTTTTGGTTGAAGATATTTTTTTTTGCATTTTGTTGGGGAATTCAGTCCAATAATATTTATTGATACTATTTTTAATTTATCCATCTTGTTCCGATGTTGATGGTGCAGCTGTTTCTTCTCCTGAGGTCTTAGATAGACTTTGTTCTGAGTTGCCTGAAGATTTTCTTTCAATTCCTCTATGAAGCATCTTAAAATGTGTTTCTTGGCAAAGTGTAGAACGATGCAAGTATATAGCACTTTTCACAGGCTGGTTCATGGGAATACTGAAACACCAGAAGAAGTTACAGGAAATACTTACTAGTACTTAAAACTTGGACATGAAATGTAAAACAGTGTTTGCAGGGAATTACCTTGCCAGAAAAGTATCTAAATTAAAGTTGTTTCTATTGAATGGATTATTGGCTTCTCTTCATGAATGCATGCAGTTTGTTGTGTCGTGGAGATTAACCCTGAGTCTTTTCTAACTGTCTCCCACCATTGATTTCACTTTGATTTTCTGTAAGGGCAGACAGGCTAAGTATGACAAAATACACTAATCCTTCATTGTACATTCGTAATACAATGTACGCTCAAGATGTTTTAATGGTCTTCCATTTCTTTTTAAAATAGCCATATTGGGACCAAGTTACTTGTGCAGGTTTTGAAGATAAGTTATTAACACTAAATCTAAACAGCTAAAGTGTGAAGTCCACGTTTTTCTTCTGGAAACTGCTATGCTGTGTGTGCTTTCAAAGCTCACCTGTAAGTAAACATTTTGCCGAGCATACAGTTATAAAGTTGTTTGGACAGTAAAGGCATGATGCAGTGCCCCACTGCTACTGCCATGTGAGGAATTACCACCTGCTGCTCTCCCTTCAGAGCTCAGAGAGTTGTGTGTGCAAAAGGGAGCTGCATGCGCCCAAAGACCCACGTTTGGCATGATCCAGTTGATGCCCTGACCCAGTAGTCTGATACCTTTCCAGACTTGGGACCCACCTGTAACTCCAGATGAAAGCATGGCCTCCATTGAGCTGTTAGCACATGGTAGGAAGACGTATACCATCATAACCATGGGACAGGAAGAGCAGCAGCAGTCAGAGTCTCCAAACCTTCTACGAAAAAGAAATCATATCCTCCACTGAGTTACCTTGCCTCACTGTGGTGTCGCTCCTTTCAGCATGCATGCAAACAGAGGCAGGGCGTGGGGAATCATTGCTCTCTACACAGAGGCCCTAGCAGCAGGTCCCTACTAAAAGCAACCCCCCAAAAAGGGACAGCTCAATAGGAGCTTGCAACTCAACAGTAGCCTTGGGAGTTCCAACCCGTGGGAAGAAGACCACCACTACCTTCATATTTTCATCTGATGCTGGGTTAGCTTTGTTTAATGTGGCAGTTTTATAATGTGGTATATAACATCATTTGTAATACTAAGTATTTTGTTCGTTTGCTTTCCAGGAACCCAGCGTTATTCAGTTTTTTGCTTATTCAAAATAGGAGCTCAAGTGTTTGATACAGATTTGCTTATTGTGGATAAAGCAATAACAGACATCTGTTTTGGAAGTGTAACTGTGTTGTAAGTATCTTTGGGTCAGTGAAGGTACTCACCTAGCTACATTTTTGTTGAGTTAATTGTAAGAAACTCAAAGACTTTTCTTACACTAAAGATTAAGTTCAAACATCAGAATATTCAAAATCTCACGGACTGTTACTCCAGCCCTAAGCATGTTTGGCTTTTAAGAGTAGAATTGCACTGTGTAGAATTGCACTGTTGTAAGCTTGCTAAATCAGAGGTTCATAAAGGTTAAATCATAAATACCGCTTGGTGTATAGGAGAATATTTTTTGATGGTATGATGGAATTATTTGAGGGAGACTAAGGAAATCTGACCAAAGCTTCAACTTGATCCTATACAGCACTTCATGCTTGGTATCCCTTGTTGGACAAGATTAATATAGACAAATTTGACTGGGAAAATGTCAGTAATGCTAAATACAAATTGTTGTTATATAACTAAAAATTGGTGTCTTGTACGGTTAGAGAAGTGTAGTTTTCTCGCAATACCCTTGTTTTGTTTTGTTTTTTTCTTGGACTTCCCTGTTGGATTTATTTTTCTGTATGTATAAAACTCAATAAAATTTATGGTTTAAAAAAAAAACACTCGATCCTATACAATGCCTACAGCTGGTCTCTGATCCTAGAGATTCACTAGGGCTCTGCTGTGGGAAGTTCTAGATGTGTTAGAATTTTTCTATAAACATATTTAGAAGGCAGTACATTTTATTAATTGAAATTGTAATACAAGAATCTGTTGTTGGGAAACAGCTGGTGTATGGTTGATTGAATGAGTAGTCCTACCCCTGCACTCAAATCAAGGAAGACCCCTTGGAGAAGCAGGTCTGGTTAAAGAAATGTAATTGTATTAGAGAACATCTGATTACTACGTATGGTATTAAACCACCAGTGCTTTGTAGAACTAGGTGTGATTTGTTTCATTTTATTACGGCTTAACAGTTGTGTGTAAACTAAAACTATGAAAATTGGTTTCTAGTGAGGGAGTTGAGCCAGACTTCCAGCTAAAGGTTGAAGTATATAGCTGCTGCTGTACTGAAGATTCTTCAATCATACCAAACACTCCCAAGAAGTTAGTTAAGAAACTGAAAACCTCTATCGGCAAAGCTACTGGGAAGAAACTCAGCTCCACATCAGATGATGACAACCCTGAATTGTTATTACTCAGTGACGCAACTGTAGTGTAAGTGAATTGTTTCCTAATTTAAGCTTACTTTAGGATATCGGGTGGTAGTTGGTGGTATCTTTACATAAGGCATCTGAAAAAAGTGTGTGTGTGAGCTCAAACTGAAGCTTTAGCAATCTCTAAAAATCTAAATGCCCACTACAAAGGAGCAGTGGGAGATCAGAGAACAAAGGAAAGATCTAATTGGCCTTTTGTCAGACCACTGGAAGAATCAGGAAACAGCTGTCAGTTGTCTCCCTTCCAGAAATCAGCCCAAATGGAAACCAAATAACTGTCTCTGTCTCAAGAATTTACTTAAGAACATAAGAACATAAGAGATGCCAATGTTGGATCAGGCCAAAGGCCCATCCAGTCCAACACTCTGTATCACACAGTGGCCAGAAATACCAACCATGCACTGCAAGTGCTCTCCTTGCACCAGGTTGCTCTCTCACAGCAGCCAGGATACAGGGCTGGCAGTGAGAGATGACTGGATGAACTGGAGAATAGAGACTAAGGAGGCCATAGTACTCTAGTGCTGCAGTGAAGAACCATATTGCTTTGAGAGTCAACCAGTGCTGTATTTCAGAGTAGGCTTCAGCTTGTACCTTACAAGCCTTGAGCAGAAGTTGGATTTTTCTCTCCCCCCAGCAGTCTCCTGAGACATCTGAAACTATTGTTGGGAGTCCCAGAAAGCCTCGTAGACAAAATGCCAAGGGGCTGCAGGGGAGAAATAGAATTGGGCCTCTTGTGTCAGCCAAAGAAGGAAGGGTAATATTTTGCCTGATTCTCTTTCCTCACATGACATTTTTCTTCATGACACTTCCACAGTCTGGAGGCGGGGCAGCCGTGGTAATGGGGGTGCAGGGCATGATCCGTGGTCATAGAATACAGTGCATTTGCAAGGCCATGAAAATAGTCTAGCAGCAATGGCGCACCTGGGCTAGATTCAGCACCCTTGTTGTAATAGGAATACGAATCTACCACTTATGAGCATCCTGGACTAGTTGGAAGCTTTCTATCAAGTCAGTGTACTGACAGGGCAGGCTGCTTGAGAGCCAGAAGGGCTCTTTTTAATATGTAGGTTTTGAAAACATGTAGGAAGAACTGGGGCTGCCAAATACTCTTCCAATCCTAGCAACTATGACTCGTTTGTTTCTAAAAAGATACTTCCATTTAAGGCAATAATCTAATTCAAACATTTGGGAAAAATATTGCTAGCAATGCTAATTAGCCTGTTAAATTTGAAAACTGATAAAGATTTGAAAGATGAAGCAACTGGCAAATGATAACAATGTGGAAATGGCATACTGAAGTGAGCCAAAAAGAGAGGAGAGAATCTCATGTTTTAGAAGGAAAATGGCACTGCGAAGCATATTTCAATGGTGAAGTAGTATGTTTTCCTTGGCATATCTTGCGCTATAAATAGTACAGATCTTTTAAAACTAGCTAACTTAAACATTCGGCACCAGAAGATTTTCATCTGTTTTATTTTTGAAAAATTCAGTTATTTTAAATGGAACCAAATTGTTCAATTACAGATGGCTTTTTTGTGTTTGTCTAGTGACTGAGACTCTTTTGGTGGGGATCCAGCAACTTGTTTTCAACTGTACAAAGACTTTCCCCTTGATGTGCTAATGGGAATTGTGTAGCAGTGTATTTATTCTCTATGGCAGTTTAACACGTAGCTTTTACCCTATAAAGTGAATTATTTGGAGGGGGGAGAGGAACCTCCCTATTCATCAGGTGCAAGCAAAAATTACGGAGCTGTTAGAAGAAAATGGAGCTTGTTCAATTGTTATCTTAGTTCTATTCCTGAATATGCCAAAACAAGCCACAAATGACTTTAAAACCTAAAGCAGTTACTTAATGTCTTTGATCTTAAGAAGCCGAAACAGAGTTCAGAGAGGGAATTTTGCTGCCTGTTCCTTCTCACTGCAGATCTGGAAAAAATGGCATGGATACAGGGGACTGTAGGTGGCGTGGTAGATGTTTTTTACCTGTCAGGCCCTAAGTTTTTGCTCTGTTTGCACAAGAATGTGGGGGTTATTTCTGTCAATTTTACCTTCCCATTGCAGTTTCCCAAGTTAAATCTTGCACAAGTTCCAAGGTTTCCCCAGCCCTCTGGAGCAGTTTATTGAGGGATGCTGGAGGCTGCAAAGGGAAGTGGCAAAATTCTTTAAGAAATCTAAGTGGAACTCATGTAGAGTTTTAGTGTGTGTATATATTTCTTTTGAGAATAATGAGAGGAAGGAAACCCTCTGCAATGATTACTGTAGGTTATCACCTGCTTTTACTGAATTGTCTTTACCTTGTACCTCACATTCTGTATTTATAGTTTACCTGACTTAGTTGGTTGTTTTAATTGTTCCCTAATTCTGTAATCCTAGTCCAATTGCATTGTTCACTGGATGTCTAATGATGCCTCATTGTACTGCTTATATCCTGTAATCTGCCTTGCGTCTCAGTAAGAAAGTCAGGTTATAAATAAAGTAAATAAACTGAAGTTGTGAATGGCTCCAAAGCGGGTAAAATTATTTAAAAGAGCTGGAAGACTCTGCCGTAAGAACAAGACATATAAATTCCTTTGAATTAACTGTACTGAATCAATCTGCTTTATATTAACCAGTGGTGCAAAGTACAGCTTGCTGGCACATGCAACTTTGGGACTGGAAAGTGTTGAGGACAATTTCAAGACTCACAACCTTACTATTGTAGGAAATGGTAAGTTCAAGTGTAATATGGTAAAAAAAATGAATGAACAAAATATTGCATCTTGGTTTAACAGTAATCTACAATGGCTCCCCCCCCCCGCCCCTTGCTGCGGTTTCTGCCAAGCCCTGCAGACTGTGTGAGGGGGGGGGGGTGTTTCTATCTGCTGTCTCAAAACACTAGTTGGGATGAACTTTTGTTTAAGATAAGTGAACATTATTCTTTCCCATTATTCTCTTTCTCTCACAGCCATACCTGCACTCCTTTCCCATGAAGCTTTTCTAGCCTAACAGCCTACCCTGTGCATGTTTACCTGGAAATGCATCCATCTTTGTTCAGTGTGGCTTGCTCTCAAGTAAGAAGGCACAGGATTGCAGCCCAATTAGTTAGAATATAGGGAAGGGGGAAATCGTAATTATTCTGTATACCAAATCCCGAGTTCCTCTGAGTTTTGTGAAACATGTTTGTATATTTCTCTCAAATCTTAAGCAACCCTTATAATATTTACTTAATGAAAATTGTTTTTCTGTCCTCTGCAATGATTACAAAGATCAGACAACCATTACCTGCACTGATTTCACGAAAAATGCACTTTAGTTGCCCCGGGGGGGGGGTGCCACAAACTGCCCAGCAGACTCCAGATCAGTAAACCCAAATTTTGTATCCATGAGCACCATGCCATCTCACGATGTGTTTCCTGGTACCCACTTGCTTCTTAAGCCTTGCGGGGGGGGGGATCCTAAGAGTCTTGAATGGAACAGAAAGAAAAGTCGAGCTTCTGGGCACTCTCTACCAGCTGACTGATGGGCAAAGCATCCATCCCATTTTGGGCAAAAACATCACATTTATGCACATACGACTTGGCCATATGTAGAGACTCTGGGCTTGGAAACCTCTCGCTGTGGCTGTGTGTGCAGAGAATAAGCCCACCCCTTTCTTTGGAAGCTGGAATCAAACAATGTCTTTCTGTCTGTGGTACTGCCTGCTACCCTTTCTCAAAATTCCAGACTATCCACAGGCTCAACACGATTGAGGATCCCTGCTCTAGATTATATTTTTGAAGATAATAGAAAGTTCAAAAATTGCTGTCGTAAACCAAGATGAACTCAGATATACAGCATTTGTTGCTATGTGGACATGGTATCAATGATAGTAAACCCAGCTTTCAATCAACCCAAGAAAAATTAATTTTCCAAAGCATGGTGGTTGGTTAAAGATTACAGCGTGTATTGGTCCCCTTCAGTCATCCTAAGCAATGGAGATTTCACCCACTGAAAACACACAAGACATCATATGGTGAATAAAAATGGTTTGTCCAAGTCTGTTTTGATGCAAATATATCCACTCTTGCTCCATGTACTGTGAAATGCAAAGCAGGAATTTATTTTTGTCTAATATTTATTTAAAAACCTTATACCCATACATCTCTGAAAGGTTCAAAGCAATTGAGCACTTGCTAATCTAACAGTGTACAATTTTCATGGTTTTCTTTTTAGAGGAGTCATCTTTCTGGCTTCCCTTGTATGGCAGTATGTGTTGTCGTTTGGTTGCTCAACCATCCTGCATGATCAAGGATCTGATGGCGGGTTTTCTTAATCAACAGGTAAAAAAGACCTTGAGATTTCTCTTCCTAACACTTAAATGTTGTTCAGTCAACACTGAACACTTCTTCCTTGGAGCTTTATTCTGCATGGGGAAATTTTCTGTCTTGAATTAATACTGTACTGTTATTCACACTGTCAGAACTTTTAACATCAACCACAGCAAAATTAAGAAGGAAAATTTGTAAAGTTTTCAAGACTAGTTATTGATACAAATACTTAAACTGTTGAAACTATTTAAACATTGGCTAACTGAGTCTAGCTGAGTTTTAAAGGTTGCTCTTATGAAACTTTTAAGCTTATTACTTGTTAAAATGTTGTACTTTACCTTTAGAAAGACTGTATTATTGTTTTCTGTGGATGTCTTCATGTTCCTTCCTTTGTAACTGTTTTGTTATATTATTTAGTGGCAGCAGCTGGTGAATATTGAAGACCTGACAACATTTGTGTTGAATCTTGAAAATATTCTGTTCCTAATGTGTCTTAGGTCAGCCTGGATTTTAAACAGCTGGGCTTTGATGTTAAAGTTTTGTTAGGGGATCTTGTGAAACATAGTTGCCGTTTCAAAGTGAAACTATGTTGTCAGTTTTTGCCCTCCTCCCATCCATTTGGTCTCTTTAAAATTGGGCAGGGTCAGTTGCATGGGGTCTTTTTACTAAATCATTGCTCTCCTAGTTGGGTGACAAGTGGGAAGGCAGAGTGTGATTTGTCCTGTATATGTTTCCTGTATATACACGTTTCTCATAGTGACATAGGCTCTCCATACAGGGTAGCAGCTCCAATGCCACTAGCAGTAATTGGTGCCTGTGACTGCCAATACTAAGGCAGGATGTTTTGTTCATGTACAAGGAGGTCTCTGAGCAATATCTAAAAGGAGTTTGCCTCAAAGGGCCTGAGGCTGGTTTGGGTTAAATCAAACCAGTTAAAGTCATGCTAGGCGGAATAAAACACCCCTACTTGTTTGATGAAGCCTTAATACTTGCAACTCAGATACAGATGGAGTTGCTGCAAAATTAATCTAAATCAATTTCAAAACAAACCACTGCTTTAAAATGCATGGTGTGTTCCTTCTTAAATTGAATGTATGCTAAATCAGTTTGTAGCAATAACAGAGATTTCATCTCTTCTTCTTATAGCAAATCATAGGGAAGTTGACTTCCTGGAGGAGGCTATACTGTGTGCTAAGAGGTGGGAAGCTCCTTTGTTACTATACACCAGAAGAAATAGAAGCTAAAGTGGAGCCCACTCTGACTGTTCCTGTCAACAAGGTAATATGGCATCAGCTAGTTGACTGAAGTCAAATTCTGATGCTACTTTTGTAGGCTATCTTTAATGCCCATTTTGTTAATGGTGTTTAATTCTGTGCCCATTCTGTATGCAAATGGTGATGTGCCAGGTGTGTGTGAGCAGCAGCAATGTTGCTGGAGAGTCTCTGGGTGAGTAATTAGTTCCAAGTGGGTCCTGAACTAAAAGTGGGTAGTTTAAAGCTTGAATTAGTGCAGTAAGAAGAACTAGTACGAAATTATTAAAAAGTAGCTCTGGGGAAGAATGGGTGCACGGGGTGTAAAAGATTATGTTCTTCATGGTCTCTGTGCAGTCCCACACTTGGGTACTGCACCTGCACCAAACTCGGCCTTGGAGAATGAAGAGCTAACCTCAGTTGTTTTGGCACACTTCCTCCTTGTGCTCTGGGGAGCAGTCACACAGTGCGCATGCCTCTGGAGCTGAAGGGAAAGCACCCACCTGCTCTCCTCCTTCTTGACCACCGCACGATCTGGACCTCACTGTGTCTTCTCTCTCCTCATCTTCATTTCCTCAACATTTTCCCTCATGTCTCTTCATCTTCCTTTGTGTTCCTAATTTCTGTGTCATAGCTAAAAAACAAAACAGTCTTTCAATTTTGTCTCGTCTCCTCTGAGTGTTTTCCCCATCCCCTCCCTTTCCCTTCCATCCTCCCCCCTCTTCTTGAGGTTCTCAGAGGTGGTGTATGGAAGGTGCAGTTTATTTTAAGAAGTGCCGTTATTGTGGCTCTAACCTCTTGTCCACCAGCAGGCATGAACTTTGCCTTTTCTGCTTAGGGGAAGGTCACCGAGTGGACTTCTGCCCTCACTAAGCTAAGTTCACAAAGCAGGCCAGATGGAACAGAGCACTTCACCTCTGCAGCCGTTTGACTGAAACCTCTCTTGCTCCACTGATACCCTCTTTGGCTCAAGCTATATCTTCACCACCTCCTTCTTCTCTGAAGGAGAATCAGTATCAGCGGAGACTTTGTCCACATCTTCGGTTTCTAAGAAGAAAAGAGACAAGTCCTCAAAACGGCAATTGGACCCAGCCACTCATGGCCCAAACCAGAAAAAAGTAAAGCCAACCACAGCACCAACACCCAGTTTAGTTGCGCCGTTAATCATATCAGACCTGTTGGTATCAATGTCAGCGGTGCAACCCTTTCATCCAACTTTCTCAATTCGGACCGCTTTGGTGGAGGACTCTTTGGCTCCAGCTCCAACTGAGACCCTTTCGTCCACAGCTGACCAACTACCACTGGGTCAATGAGTCATTGTCAGCTCCTCCCAGTCGCTTTCCATCTGACACTCATCAGCCCTCTAACTAGTGAGCATTGTTGACGTGATCATCATTGGTTGGAACCTGACCTGTCCTTCAATGTTCAGCCTGCCTCCCGTCAATCTTGCCATCGATCTCAGTCCTGGAGTTCTGTTAGATCCCGAAGCCACCATCATGGTCACAACTCCAGATCACATTCCTCTTATAGACTATGCCATCAATGCAGTTCCACCCAATACTCCTTGAGCTTGAGAACATCACCTCGTCACCATTCTAGGTCTCGGGATTGTCACGCTTGAGACGATTTGACCTCCAGATCCTCTCACCATTATTGATACTCTCCAGTGCAATCTGCGGCACAATCCCACCATTATTGGTCCCGGTCTCATGGATCTTCATATCACAACTCCCCTCGTGGACATCTGACGGGGGACTCCTGACTGCATCAGTCTTGCCATTCCAGCTGCCAACACTGCACTATGACTATGGTCATACTGACGGCACCCTTGGATTCGGTCCCCACTGCCCACCATGCAGAGTCTCAACCAGCTGCATCAGTATTGGCTCCTGGACTCCCACCCCTGCTAGAAGGTCTTGCTGATACCTCACCCAAGCCCTCGTGCAATGCTACGGAAGACTCTGAATCTGAAGCCGGTGACATAGTGCACACCTCCCCTGATTCCATGTTGGCCCCTCAAGGGTCTGTTTCCCTCTGACGGCTCCAAGGCTTACCTGGAACTGATCCACAGAATGGTCCAGGCCTTAACGGTTCAAATGATGTTGGGGATCCCCAAGGTTACTGATATTGTGCACAATTAGTCCAATCTGATGTTCCCACCAGGGGTGACCCTCCCCATGGTACCTGTCCACTTGGAAGGACTCAAGGGAGCCTGGGACAAACCAGCCTCCATTCTACCAATGTCTAGGAGATCTAAGGCACTCTATAAAGTGCAGCACGTAGATGCCAAATTTGTTTTTTCTCACGCAGCCCCAAATTCTCTCATCATTAATTCTTTTTCCTCGTCCAAACAAACATGTCCCCCTTCCCCCCCACCCCAATCATGAGTGGAAGAAACTCAATACCCTTGCCCAGAAAGCGTATTCTCTCATATCTCTGACTGCTAAGATACACAACTGCCTTTCGTATCTATCAGCTTATTCCTTCCATTTTATAAATCAATTCACACCTCTAATCTTGAAGCTGCCTGCTCCTGAACAACAGGTGGCCACATCTGTTGTCTCTGAGGCCTCCAAAGTTTCCAAACAGCAGATTAATTCCTTGACACATGCTGTCACCACTTCCTCCTGGATTTTAGCCACAGCCATAGCATTTTGCCGTCACGCCTGGCTTCGCTCCACCTCCCTGCTCCCTGAGATTAAAGTGAAGGTTGAGGACCTCCCCTTTGACAGGGAGGGTCTTTTAGACTTCTCAACAACACCCTGAAAAATGTTGATAATGGCCAGAAAAGGGTTTGCAACCTGGGAGTCAGCTAACCTTCTGCCTAGCGATATTCCAAACCTCGGCAGTGGAAACCACCCTATCAGAGGCAACACCACCGATCCTTGAACCAAACTGATTCCTGGAGGAAGATACCCCTTCCACCAAAGCAACCTTACCAGCCTAAGACCAAACCGCAATCTGATACGAGGTCATTCCCAGTCTTCTAAGTGGTCTCTTTGACTATCCTCCCCTTGGGGAGGCCCCTCCTCCCACCCCACCTGTGGGCACCAGGCTACGTCCTTACTTCCAGGCTTGGAACAACATCACCCCAGACTCCTGGGTCCTCACCACCAATTCGGGTGGGGTACGTTGTAGAGTTCATTTCTCTTTCCTCCACACCTCATTTCATACCCACCCACCCATCCTGCTTCCTGATGGACGATGTACAAACGTTGCTGAGCAAAGAAGCCATCAAAGAACTTCCATCAATGTCTCAATGCCAGGGCTTCTACTCCCATTATTTCATAGTTCCCAAACAAGATGGGGGGAAGCATCCAATAATGGGCTTGAGAGACTTGAATCAGCATATAGACACAACGCACTTTCGCATGGAATGAATGGCATCTTTATGTCTCCAAGACACATACTTCCATATCACAATAAGACTACAACATCATCATAACATCTTTTCACAGTCAGGTGTTTCTATTTCTAATATCGGGTCCTTCCTTTCGGACTCTCTACAGCCCCACGTGTCTTTAAGAAATGCACGGCCATGGTGGCTGCTGCTGCTCTTCATCTCTGTGAGATAATAATTTATTTGTACATTGACGATTGGCTGCTGGTCTCTCCATCTTCCCACCAACTGGAAGCTGAACTTGCAGTCACTCTCTGCCTCCTAGCAAACCTGGGCCTCTGTGTGAATCTATCCAAATCCTCCCTGAGGGTGATCCAGGTCATCCAGTTCATAGGGGCTCAAATCCGTACTCTTCACCAATGTGATTACCTCCTGGAAGACAAAATTACCACCATTCAACTGCTCATTCACCATTTCCTCGGCCAACCAAGCCAGCCTGTGAGATCCATCATGCGCTTATTGGGACTCATGGTTTCCACCACTTTTGTAATCCCATTTGAGCAGCTGAACATGTGACTGGTTAAGTTTTGGTTACTTGAGCTAGTTTGGTGTAGTGGTTAAGTGCGCAGACTCTAATCTGGGAGAACCGGGTTTGATTCCCCTCTCCTCCACTTGCCCCTGGCTGGATGACCTTGGGCAAGCCGTAGCTCTGATAACAGCTGTCCTTGAAAAAGAGCAGTTTCTGTCAAGAGCTCTCTCAGCCCCACCTACCTCACAGGGTGTCTGTTGTGGGGAGGGGAAGGGAAAGGAGTTTGTAAGCCGCTCTGAGACACCTTTGGGTAGTGAAGGGCGGGGTATAAATCCAATCTCTTCTCTTCTCTCTCTTCTCTTTGGCATTTCCAGATTCACTGTCAGCCCCTGACCACTATTCTTCTAATGTCTTCCAAAGTACTCTCCAGTCTTCATTGGTGGTCTCAAGTCAACAACCTTCCACAGGGCATGCCCTTTCAGTATCTATCACCAGATGTTGTCATCTCCACAGATGCCTTGTGGTAGCGTTGGGGAGCCCACTATCGAGATCTCTCAGCCCCGGGACGATGGTTAGTTGCGCAACCCCACCTTCATATCAACTGCTAGGAGCTCCAAGGTGCAGTTTATTTTAAGAAGTGCCATTCTTGTGGCAAGACTCTCCTTTCTCATGATGTCTCTAAAACTTTTCTCAAAGTCTTGCTTCATCTCCACCCACTATTAAGCCTATTGTGCCTGAATGGAACCTTTCTTTTGTGCTTGCACAGCTCATGGATCAACCATTTGAGCCCATGGTATTCTCTCCGCTTAACCTCCTCTCATGGAAAATGGCTTTCCTTGTGGCAATTTCTTTGGCCAGAAGGTCCAGTTATATATCATTCTGGGCCGATGCACCCTCACTATCTTCCATAAAGATAAAGTCATCCTGTGACCTGATCCTGCTTTCCTGCCCAAGATTATATGCTCGTTTCACCTTTCACAACCTACCGTCTTCCCGACTTTCTTTCCACAGCAATCTGATGCCAGAGACTAGAAATGTGGATTGTATCCACCATCTCTTTTTGTTATGAGCTCGCAAAACAGCCACTACCTGCTCATTTGTGGGCTCATTCAACTAGAGCTGTGTCCATTGCTGCAGCTTTCCTTGGCAGCACATCTGT